CTAGCTTCTCGGCCGATATGCTCTCCTGAATCGGTATGAAATGCGCGCTCTTGGTCAGTCGATCCACTATGACCCAAATCGAATCAACTCCACGTGCGGTCCTGTGATATCCTCCCATTTCCACACGGGAATGTCTAACGGTTGCATCTTGCCGTGGGGTCTCTGATGCTCCGCCTTGACCGTCCTGCAGGTCAGGCATCTCTCCACGTACCAAGCTACGTCCCGCTTCATGCAGGGCCACCAATAGTCGGGTCGAAGATCTCTGTACATCTTCGTCGCCCCTGGGTGAATGGAGAACCGAGACTTGTGGGTCTCATCCATCAGTACCTGCCGTACTCCTCCCCAGTACGGTACCCAAACTCTCCCATGAAGGGTCAACAATCCTCGACTGTCATAGTCAAAGGAAGCTACTCGACCCACAATCCTCTCACACTTCTGCCTCTCCTCCTTCAGGCCCTCAACCTGTGCCTCTCTGATCTGCTCCAACAATGGAGTAATCACTGTCATCCTCAGACATACATCCCTGATCGGGGCTGCTACCGCCTTGCGGCTCAGGGCGTCGGCCACTACGTTGGCCTTGCCCGGATGATAAAGGATCTCACAGTCGTAATCCTTTACCACGTCTAACCATCGGCGCTGCCTCATGTTCAGATTCGGCTGATCCATGAGGTAACTCAAACTCTTGTGATCCGTGTAAATGATACAGCGGACCCCATAGAGGTAATGTCTCCAAATCTTGAGGGCGGACACCACTGCCCCCAGCTCTAAATCGTGTGTCGGATAGTTAGCCTCGTGAGGCTTCAACTGTCTAGAGGCATAAGCTATCACATGCCCTCGCTGCATCAACACTGCTCCCATACCTGTGATCGAAGCATCACAGTAAACTACAAAATCCTCTACTCCCTCTAGCAGGGTGAGAATCGGCGCCTCGCACAATCTCTGTCTGAGGGTCTCAAATGCTGCCTGCTGCTCAGGCCCCCAACGAAACACCACCGACTTCTTGGTCAGTCGGGTGAGCGGAACTGCTATCTTGGAGAAATCCTGGATGAATCTCTTGTAGTACCCTGCCAGTCCTAGGAAACTCCGAATCTCAGTTGGAGACCTCGGGACCTCCCACTGCATCACGGCCTCTATCTTGGCCGGATCTACTAGTATACCCTTCTGGTTGGCGAGGTGTCCAAGGAACTGCACCTCGCGCAACCAGAACTTGCACTTGGAGAACTTCGCGAACAGTCTCTCCCTCCTCAGCGTCTCTAGCACCTCTCTCAGGTGCTCCTCATGCTGCTCCTGAGTCTTGGAATAAACCAAGATGTCATCAATGAACACTATCACAGACCGATCCAACATCGGTCTGCATACGCGGTTCATGAGATCCATGAACGCGGCTGGAGCGTTGGTGAGTCCGAACGGCATCACCACAAACTCATAATGACCATAGCGGGTCCTAAAAGCGGTCTTCTGCACATCCTCATCCCTGACCAGCATCTGGTGATATCCTGACCGCAGATCAATCTTGGAGAACCAAGATGCTCCCTGAAGTTGGTCAAACAAATCGTCTATCCTCAGAAGTGGGTAACGGTTCTTCACCGTCACCTTGTTCAGCTCCCGGTAATCTATGCACATACGGTGCGACCCATCCTTCTTCCTTACGAATAGGATCGGGGCTCCCCATGGTGAACTACTCGGCCTGATGAAACCCTTGTCTAGAAGCTCCTGCAGCTGCGTAGACAACTCCTGCATCTCTGGAGGAGCCAACCGATACGATGCCTTGGCTATCGGAGCCGCACCCGGAACCAGGTCAATCCGAAACTCGACCTGTCTTTCTGGAGGTATTCCAGGCAAATCCTCTGGGAATACGTCCGGGTACTCTCGTACTACTGGCACATCGTCAACTGTCGCCTTACCCATCTCCCAGGCACCTATGACATAGGTGATGTACCCTGCGCAACCCTGCTGAACGTAGCGCCTCGATCTCACTGCTGAACACAGAATCGGTCCGTGTTGTGGCCTCTCGCCCTGAATCACTAACTCTCCCCCACTAGGAGTGTGAACCCTCTTTTGAAAATCTTTTACCATTTCCTTAGTTTGAGTCCAGTCATACCCAAAAGTGTGCCTGGATCACTCAAACCAAGGCTCTGATACCAACTTGTAACATCCCAAAAATACAACCCAAAAATTTTCGTTTGAAAACTCTACTAAACCATAATATCAAATATTAAAAGATAAATCCATGAATCATGCGTCTCAAAATGTCATAATAAATTTATCAAATCAACTGATGTCAAAACATATCAAAATATCCGAATAAAACTCCCAGGATAAATTGAAGCTGTGGTGTGTGCCATGCCATCATCCCGAGCTCTTCCCCTTACTAGCGGAAGTAACTGAAACCAAAAACTGAAACTGTAAGCACAAAGCTTAGTGAGCTCCCCTAAAATACCACATACCATACAATAACATATAAAGCAACTACTGGGCCTTGCCCACTGCATCGGACCGAAGTCCGGAAACTGCATCGGACCGAAGTCCGGAACTAACCAGGGCCTTGCCCTCTGCATCGGACCGAAGTCCGGAAACTGCATCGGACTAAAGTCCGGAACTAACCAGGGCCTTGCCCTCTGCATCGGACCGAAGTCTGGAAACTGCATCAGACTAAAGTCCGGAACTAACCAGGGCCTTGCCCTCTACATCGGACCGAAGTCCGGAACTGACTGAACGTAGCATAACATAATCATAACTACTAGCATAAACACATATACTGCATATTGCATCGGACCGAAGTCCGGAACACATAACCCAAAGACATACTTGAATCACAAAGACATCAAGCACACTAAACTACTGCATCAGACCGAAGTCTGGAACTACTGCTAACTAAACGGGTCGGCATTGTGGCCGTAGACCCGTTCCTACTGGAAGGAAACTCACCTCGTAACGCTGGCTGCTGAGGTGCTAAATCTGAGCCTGTCTGACTGCTGCTCCGGAACTCCCCGGCTACAAATCCCATAAACACTAAATCAAATACTGATAACTAATCTCAGGGTAAAATGACTATTTTACCACTGGTCAAAGTCAACTTCCTGGTCAAAGTCAACTTCCTGGTTGACTCTACTCACCGAGTCCTACTATGAACTCGCCGAGTTCCCGGACTCACACTTCTCTAACTGGCGACTCGACTCGCCGAGTCGGGACGTGGACTCGTCGAGTCTCTCTACTTCCAGATCCTTGTTCTAACTCACTAAGTCCTCTTCCACTCGCTGATTCAACTCACAACTCCAAAATCAGAGAAATCGGGAGGATTTGCGCTCCGACTCGCCGAGTCCAAGAACAACTCGTCGAGTCCTATGCATGTCCTCACTAAACAGTTGATTCTAATCGATTTCAGTGCATCCAATTCATAGATATGAGCTTCTAGGGCCGATATAACACGTAAATTTGCCAACTTTACGTGCATGCATAGAGGTATGAAGCTAAAACACCAAAATAAGCTAGAAATGGGAACCTAGGGTTTGGAACAAGACCTTGCTTTGCATAAAGGTAGCTACTTTGAGCTCCTGGGGCTCAATGATGTCCAGATCTATAGCTCACTACCCTAAGGGAGCACCAATCTCGAGTTTGGACCTTGAAATGTCCCAAAAGTGGCAAAACAAGCATATATGAAGATCTACTAGGAAAATGAACAAGGTAGAGACTTTATTACCAGATGAAGTAGCAAATGGAAACTAGCTTCTGGATCTCCTTCTTCTCCTTTGCACTTTCTCTCTTTCCTTCACTTCTACCCTTCCAAGAGTACACCAAAACACTCAAAATCAAGAAGGAATCACTCAAGCTCACCAAAGGAGGCTAGGGTTTTGAGGGGGAACGCTCTAAGGGTGCTGGAGGCTGGGATGGGGGCTATAAGGATGTTTAAATAGGGTACAAACCCTAAGGATTAGGGTTTCCTCCAAACTGGCCTACTCGTCGAGTCCAGGCGCGGACTCGCCGAGTAAATCACTTAAAACCTGCGTCCAACCTGGCATCTACTCGACGAGTTAGGGCTACTACTCGCCGAGTAGCTCTTTATAAAAGACATTTAATAAATTAAATATGTACCAGGAACGGGGCGTTACAATGGTTGTGTGTACGGGTATTTTGGGGGAACTCACTAAGCTTTCGAGCTTACGGTTTCAGTTTATTGTTTCAGGTACATCAGGTGATCGTGGCAAGGCAAAGGCGTGATCGTATCGCTCCTTATATTTCATGATTTTGTGATTTGGTTATGGGGATACTCTGATGTTTAAACTATTTTGAAAACAAGTTGTAATAACTTAATGGTTTTTGAATGGGTTAAAATGTTTTAAATTGGCTTGAATTTTATGGGTGTTACAAGTTGGTATCAAAGCCTTGGTTTGAGTGAATTGGAGAAACATTCGTGTGAATCCAGTCTCAAATCAAGGAAAGATTTTCAAATGGTTTTCAAATGGTTTCAAAATAAGTAAAGGAGGATGCAAAGGGTACGATCAGCCGGAGCCAGTAAGTAGACCCCAAAATACCATACGAGTTATTTGATTATGTGATATGATTAGAACAGCATGCTAGTACTAGGCTAGGGATCTTCAGGAATTGCATGATAGAATTGTCTGATTAAATGATGCCTGCTAGCCTAGGGTTTTCCTTGTATGAGATTGACATCATTACTATAGTTACTTGTGTATGCTTCACGGCTGTATATAATTAAGATCTTATAGCCTGAGAATGTTTAATTCGGCCTTATGTTCTATTCTTATTGGTTAGGGCTTAGGGCAGGACCGGATATTCGAAAGTCTATGGGGTCCAACGTTATGTATGGCTAGCATAGACTAGTGCTACAGGGTTGGTGTATTTTACAGGAAATATTAATAATGTAGGAAGCGACGTCATTCTATAGGTCGTCATATTACATAGATGTGTATGTATTTCTTCCTATAAGTAGCCCTCTTAATCTGGAATCACATTCAACAAATTCAACATCAATTCCTCCAATGTCTCGACCACAATCTCGCTCAGGGGTCAGGGAGATTGGGCGTTCTGCGGCCGAAGACGGGCAAAACCGTGGTGGTTCCGATTATACCAACGACAAACCACGGTCGTTTCAACACGTGGCTCCAAGACCTCCGTCTTTGATCCAAAACCTCGAAACACAAGATCTTGCTGCTAATCCTCCCTCCCTAAACGATGTGAATCCTCATCAATCGAGTTCAGGTACTGAACATTTGAAAGTTCGGGATGGATCCATGACTAAGCCGCCGCCGTCAGCCAGAGCACTGACTCATGGTAACAAAAAACTAATTGTTGGTAACTTCTCGATGTGAAGTTCATTGCTGAAATCTTAATTAAAGGAGTTGTTTGTGTTTATTTGAAGTATTTTCCCCAATATGTTGTGGGTTTTTTTTGTTGTAATCTTAAACCCTGATTCCCCTTCTCCCAATCTCGGCGAGCATATAGAGAGAGAGGCCAGGAGCAAATTCAATTAGTAATTAGTAAGGAAGAACCAAGCGAGTTAAGTTCAAGAGTCAAATAGTTGTAATTCCTGTATCACCTGTCTTGAAGAATTTAGTATATACATATTACTGTTTTAAATTCAAGTCAAACCTTGAGTTTTATCATTCTTATCTAAACATGTTTTGCATATGATGCTTTGGAAGTCAATGGATCATGTTTTCAGCATAAGAAAAAGTCAAAATGATTGTTTAACATATGAGTTTTTTTTGACAAAAAATTGTGGTTCATCAAATTGTCTAGCTACATACTTTGTGAAGGTGATCTTGCCCCCAAAATCTTGCTTCTTCTTATTCTTCTTCTTCGGAGATTACCTCAAACTAGTCACTACGACTATTCCAAACCATTTCCAACCCAGTCCATACATTTCTTTTAAAAAAGAAAAAAAAAGGTAGCATACATGCAATCCCCTAGGATCCTGATTCATCAATATCCTCACACAACATGGATCACACCAGGTGTAACACAAGATTGGTTTCTTGGTTTTTATTTATATAAAACCAAAAATCTTAAAATAAGTTTAATTTTAAAATAATCAATAAATAAATTGCACCAAATTCATATTTTTTTCCTCTACAAATAGACATCGATGTTGTTATATTTTAACTTTTACCCAAAGAGTGGGTTGTTGGGTTACTAATGGGTGTAAAAGGTTTGGAATAGTTGAGTTATGTATGTAGAATAGAAAGAAACTATTTTTTTTTAAATAAAAAGTTAGGGTTGGATACTTGGATTAGATTGGGTTGGCGATGGAAGTAGTCTAGCAATTGGTGCTTTCATTCCTAACTCATAATGACTCCACATCATGAAACACCATAATTCGAAGATAATATGTTCGTTATGCATAATAAATTCAGCCAACTTCACTCATGGATACTTGGATTAGATTGGGTTGGTGATGCAAGTAGTCTAGCAATTGGTGCTTTCATTCCTAACTCATAATGACTCCACATCATGACACACCATAATTCGAAGATAATATGGTCGTTATGCACAAAAAATTCAACCAACTTCACTCATGGATACTTGGATTAGATTGGGTTGGCGATGGAAGTAGTCTAGCAATTGGTGCTTTCATTCCTAACTCATAATGACTCCACATCATGACACACCATAATTCGAAGATAATATGGTCGTTATGCACAAAAAATTCAACCAACTTCACTCAGCCACAACCAACTCAAAAAACGCCAGAAACCACTAATCATATTCGTCCTAACTCAAACCGAAATCACAACCAATATTTTAAAGGACATCGTTAAAATGAACACTCCGGTCCACCTCCTAAACTTGAATAGTCTAACTCCCACGATCCTCCACCGCTGAACACCACACGCCTAATTCCCCCCAAATTTGATGGTTCCAATCCACTAGATTGGATATTTAAAGGCGAGAATTACGTTACTCACTATGCCATCACAACCGCCTAATGTTATTTATTGGTTGTCGTTTTTATGTCATCGTGTACCGCCTTAAATTGGTGCAAACACTCGACCAACAAAAACCTCCTTAACACATTGCTAGACGCCACACAAATTATAGAACTACGCCTACTTACGAAAACCACTAGGAAGTAGGAAATCTTGCTTAATATTAGCCAAACCACCAGTGGCGAATCTAGGACTTGAACTCACGGGTGTCCAATTTGAATAAGATGATAATATAATTCGATTGATTTTTATTGTTTTTGTTATTGGTTCGGATCCACAATATTATCTCTGAATGTGTAACACTCGTTTTTCATAACATGTATATTAGTAGTTATATGACAAGTAGGAGAAATAAAGTGTGGAGTTTGAATTAAACTTGGTATTGGTTTTTATCAAAATACAGTTGAAGAAAGTTGTAGTTTATACAAAGACGATTATTTGGATGTAAAGATCATCAAAAGTTGAGTTTGTATGAGAAAGTTATAGTCGTTTGAAAAGTACATTGCTATTATGAGAAACTCAACAAAAGTCAAAGTCAAACGGTCAAATGTGACTCGCCACAACGTGGTCTAGTACTCTCCACGGTGCGGGATGAAGTGAGTCATGAAGACACGTGTGTAACATCCCAAAATTTAGAAGTATGATTGAAGGACTTAAGTGTAAATTGAAGAAGGTACTCGACGAGTAGGTATGCTTACTCGTCGAGTCGGAGCGGGTTCTGGTCGCGAGTTAAGTGACCAACTCGCCGAGTCGGTAGCTGGACTCGACGAGTTGGTGCTAAAAAGGGAAAACCCTAATCTTAAGGGTTGCACCCTATTTAAAGGACCATATGTCCTCCCTTCAACCTCCTTATTGCCCTTGAGAGTCAGTAAACCCTAAAATCGTGTGAGCTTCCATTGTTAAAGAGATTTGAGCTTTGGAGGAGGAATATTGAGAAGGGAGCTTGAAGATCAAGAGGCTAGCATCAAGGGATTGGTGTAGATCCAGAATCTACTTCAGCTTGGGCACATTTTGGAGGTGTTGGAGTTTGGGGCAGTGCTTCGGGATTGTGCTTTCGTGGTTCGGTTTCAACAGTTGCAAGGTGAGTTATCCTAACTATACCCAAGGGTCTAAGGCACCAAGGCCGTCCCTTTGATTTGTTATTTGAGATAGTTACTGCTATGATATGTTAGTTGGCATCCTGGTAGATAGGATGGCTTTATGATGGTATGCTCTGTTAGATCGGTATTCTGGTAGATTGGATGTGGCTATGCTTAGTGACCTGTAGTTGGTCTGACTGTCTGTATGCTGGTAGGAGATTACCTGTTATATGTGCACGTGTTGAGCAGTAGTGGAGGGTATTCCATCCTGGGAGGATGATAGGGCCCTAGTATGTTGTCTTGTAGATTGTTATATGGTTATTTGATAGGTGCACATGTTTGCTAGTATGTGGGCATTCCAACCCGACGGTTGAGGGCCAGGAGTATTCCATCCCGGTAGGATGATTGGACTCATAGTAGGTGGGCATTTCAACCTGATGGTTGAGGGTCTGGGGTATTCCATCCCAAGGGATGATTGGATCCATAGTAGTTATTGTATGTATAGTAGGTGGGCATTCCAACCCAATGGTTGAGGGCCAGGAGTATTCCATCTCGGTAGGATGATTGGACTCATAGTATGTGGGAATTCTAACCTGATGGTTGAGGGCCTGGGGTATTCCATCTCGAGGGATGATTGGACCCATAGTAGTTATTGTATGTATAGGTGTGTGGGCATTCCAACCCGATGGTTGTGGGCCGAGAGTATTCCATCCCGAGGATGATTGGACTCGTAGTATGTTGGCATTCCAACCCGACGGTTGAGGGCCTGGGGTATTCCAACCTGACGGTTGATTGGACCCATAGTATGTTGTTCATTGCTGTATGTGTATGGTTGTGTGTGTACGGGTATTTTGGGGGAACTCACTAAGCTTTCGAGCTTACAGTTTCAGTTTATTGTTTCAGGTACATCAAGTGATCGTGGCAAGGCAAAGGCGTGATCGTACCGCTCCTCATATTTCATGATTTTGTGATTTGGTTCTGGGGATACTCTGATGTTTAAACTATTTTGAAAACAAGTTGTAATAACTTAATGGTTTTTGAATGGGTTAAAATGTTTTAATATGGCTTGAATTTTTATGGGTGTTACAACGTGTCAGTTAGAGAGCGACACGTGGCGGGCGGTGGACACGTGGCACGACCGGAACACCTCTTGTCACCACGACACAGTAGCATTGTTACCATGGCACGGTGGTAAGGAAATATAAATACTATCGAATTGTGTCATTTGAGGAGTTTTGCTCATTTGATTGGGAGAAGATCTGGAGGTTCCCGGAGGCTTACGACCGAAAGATTATACCGATATACGGGAGTATGAGGGTTAAATTACAGGACGAGTCGAGGTATCTTTTACCATGTTATTTCTTTGTTTCGTCTATGAAGTATTTGCAACAGGTTGTTAGACCCGAGTTAGTTAATTGAATTCGTAATATGGTGCCATTGTGAACCCTATGGTAAGATTAGTAGATCAATCTTACAGTTAAATATGCAGTCTGACGGTGAGGGTATTAAACCCTAATTTACAAAAATTACTCATTGTGGTAAATTTAGCTAACAACATATGTGGTTAAGCCAGTAGCAATGTTATTATGGAGTTAAATTAGTTGGTGACAAATGGTCACGGAGTGTATAGCTAGTAGTAAGTTATGAAAGGTTCTAAGGAACTTGTTAGTTGTTGGATAGGTGTTAGCATGTGGCAAGTTGAGTGTAACGCCTATTCCCAGGTACAAAATTTAATTAATAATAATATTTTTTTAGTATGGTCCATCTAAGGCCTCTCTACGCAGAGTATAAACCATTAAACGCATGCGTGGGGTTTTATGCCCGACGTAGGGCATAACCTTGTGTACGCAGGGCGTAGGAGCCCAGTCTCTAAAACCCTAATTAAGGGTTGTGATCCCTATTTAAAGGTCTTATATCCTTGAGATCCTTCTCATACTCAACATCCACCCTCATTTACACCATCAACGAAACACTAGGCACCTTGTGAGGTCCTTGAAGCATTTTGAGTAATCTTTTGTGAATTTTGTGAAGAATGAGGCCTTTGAAGGAGCACTTGGGAGTCCAGAGCTTATAGATCCTAACTTTACTTTTCCTCTACACCCTCCAGAAGGTATAAAGTCTAAACCTTGTTGATCATTTTGTTAAATCTAGCTAATTATGAGTTTTTATGAGTAGTTGTCCCTTAATCTTGGTTATAGTGAATATGAGCAACTCCAGACCTCATGAGTGGGTTCTCTTATCATTTCTGATCTTTGTGAGTCATAAAAATGGGTTCTTGGTCACTTCCATACATCCATGCTTGAA